CTAAGGGCCACCTTAGCAAAGCGCATCCCAGGCTGCATAGCCGCACTACCCTACCCAACCATACCACACATAAACATGACACTACCCCCGGGGTTTACACAGACGAGCCGGCGAAGCAAGAAGAGCGCCAGAAGAAAGGGCCCTAGCCGGCGGGGCCCAGCCAGGACAAAAGGAGGTCCCACAAAGCGCCTACACCGGCCGCATTTGCGGTCGGGGTAGACGACGGATGGGGCCCACCTACGAAGGCTGTCCAGGCCTACACGAGATGAGGCAGGATAAAGAGGGATAATCCCCCTCGATCCCAAATCATTGAGGCCAATTTCTAGCCATAGAATAATGGGCGTGGCGCGCGGTTGGACTAAATTGAATCAAGGAACAACCTCCCCAATGTAGGCATAGATCACTGTATGTAAAACAGGAAATCAATAGGCGTTTTCTTTCGCTCTCAGTTTTGAATCATGATCACTGAATCAGGATCAGACAAAAACGAACTAGATCCTTGAGTCCAACTTCGAAAAGAACATGATTTTGTTTACTGTTGACTGGATTTGATTTTAAATGTCGTTTAGGTATACCTATTCTTCTGTGCACAATTAAAATAAAAATAGTAACTGCCTTCTTAGAGAAAAAAGAAACCACCACAATTTTAAGGTTATATTAAATATGTGATCGTGATCAAAAGTTAGAATCACAGAAAAAGTTTGATTTATAGGGGAAAGGGGATTACCGATCCTGATCATATAATCTGGCATTATCCGGAAACAAGAAAACAACTACGAACATGATTTTGGGATCATAACGCGTTTAGATCCGAAAACTGAAACCAAAAGAAAGCAACTAGTATTAGTTGCTTTCTTTTATATGTATAACCATAAAATTGTGGTGGTTTCTTTTTTCTCTAATGAGGCAGTTACTATTTTTATTTTAATTGTGCACAGAAGAATAGGTATACCTAAACGACATTTAAAATTAAATCAAATGTCAACAGTAAACAAAATCCTGTTCTCTTCGAAGTTGGATTCAAGGATCTAGTTCGTTTTTGTCTGATCCTGATTCAGTGATCATGATTCAAAACTGAGAGCGAAAGAAAACGGCTATTGTAGCTAAGTAACAGACATAGAAAATAAAGTACTATTTTTTCTATGGTAACAGATCAACACTCTAGTCACAGAATATCCTAACTACAGATATTCTGTGCTCTAGTACACATTAAATTCCATGTGATTAATGACAAACAGTTTTGACAGTTTCTTTTACCATTCGATGTCTTAATACATTTAAATTAGCAATGTTAATTACACAAAAATGTCCAGAAAAGGGTTTTTAGTTAAAGTGGAACTTGACGTACAAAAGGTAAGCGATACGCCTACTCAATATTCACGAATATTTAATATTGAAATTTGTAATTGTCACAAAATTTTATTATATCAGCAATGATTTATTCGGTAAGTCATTTTTGTATAATAATTTTAGGTGACATGTCCAGGAGTGTGGCTCTGTTCCAATGGGAAGGTGTCTTTACAAATTTATATGTTGGATTCATCCATACAAACTTCAAGTTGCAAACCCACATTTCCAATTTATTTTCATGAGAAGTTTGTATTTTACAAAACGTTCACCGAAGACCAAAGGCTCAATGAACTGCAAAGGAGCTTAAGTATACTTTAGTATATTAATTTATTATAGTTTAACTCTTTACTGTTTTTATGCCTACATAATGATTTAATTTAATACATGGATTCTTCAAACATTCAGTAAAAAACTGACAAATGTAGAATTGCTCGAAAACTAATTCAGAATTCTACTAACCTGTCGCTTGTTAGCCCTGTTAGCCCATTTAAGATGAAAAAATCCTTATAAAAAAGATATTTAATTTTTATTTTCCATGCATTATTTTTATTTTATTTTTTATTAGAATTCAATTTTGGATAGGTATAGGTAATTTGTTAGAGTTCGTTACCAAGTTATTAAAAAAAAATACTTATATACTGACTAAATAGATTTTTACACATATTTCCTAAATAATTCAAGAAGCAGCACCAAGAATATTAAATTGCTTAATTAAATTAGAATATATTTTTTAATTTAACCATTTAATATTTATAAGAAAGATGAGCAGATGACGATAGCGACATTGACCAAAATCTGAGGCCTTTTCCTAATATTTAAATGCTCCAGTGGCAGAGATACAGGGTATCGGTGGCATATTTTTCTAAATACAATAGTACAAATTACTATTCTCTTAAGTTTTTCGAAGAACGCCTGATTTTCGAGTAAAACTTAAAGAACGAACTGAAAACACACTGATATTCGAATAAAATGCGGTTTAAAATTATATAGTAGGCTGCGATAGCACCTTTGACATTCTGAGCAATTAGAAGAAATAATAAATAATGCTTTTCATCAGATTCAAGCAACAATAAATTTCGAACAAATTACATTTTCGTTACTGAAAAGATGTCGCGCCTGTATTCCTGTAGTGGAGGTATTTTTGAGCATTTACTCAAATAAAATCATTAAAATGATGACTAGTGTTATTAATTTCTTTATTCGAATAAATAGCTGAATGATTAGTCGTGTCAAAATCAGGCTTTCTTCGAAAAACATAAGAGAGTAGTAATTTGTAGAAAATTGATACGACAAATCCAAAAATATCATGGTTGTTACTGTAAAGCCAGTGCCTGATTTACCTATAGACTGGTGTAGGATACAGCCTACAGCCCCCTACCAACTAGGGGCCCCCACCATGTTAACAAAAATTTTTTTTATGAAAATTAATTTTTGTTTAAGATTTTTTTAAGACCTCCCGATCATGAACAGGAAAGAAATATAATTTTATATTCTTAAAATTTGAATTCTATCCATTAAGATATAATTCTAAGAGCTGCCACTAGAGGGAGAAAGCATATACAATAAGAATATATTTTTTTTTTTGGGAGGGGCCTACCAAAAAGGATATTTTTTTTCTAGAATAGGCCCCCGCCAATTTTCAGCCTACAGGCCCCCACCACTGTAAATCAGGCACTGCGTAAAGCAGTGGTGTACTATTTTATTTAGAAAAATATGTACCAATACGCTGTATCTTTGCCATTGGAGCATCTATATTTAAGGAAAAGACCTCAGATTTTAGACTATGTTTACCTAAATACATATGCCCCATTTCAAATTATTTCACCTCGCCTACTAGTTTTTAAATTACATATTTAAAAAATTATAAATATTTGTTTAAGTTTAACATCCTGTATCTTTTTAACGAAGCGTCCTAGATAAAAGCTTTATACGAAAGACTCCCCTCAAAATTCACCAAAGGATACAAGGTTTCATTTTTGATCACCGTTTGTGAATCACCTTGTACACCTATTTCACATTGCTTTCACTTAATATGATTAAATGTAGATCAGAAACAAGGAATACAATTTAGATGCCTATTAAACAATTTCAAATAATGTTTTCATAGACAATGAATGGTTTTACGCTGAACTGGTACAATGGCAAAGTTGCAACGAAGGATGTGTTTTAGCTACATTTCAAACCACTTTAGATGATTTATTATACCCTTCATCATTCCGTCGTGTAATAAGTGGAATGGACATAGACTTACTTATGGAACCGACAGAACTGTTCCCTGTATGTTTTTATTAAATTAAGATAATGTATACTAATCTTCCTTTTTCAGGGCACAATAGCACCTAAATTAGAAATTGGCACAAAAACTACAATAGAAGAAACTTTATGTGACATCGATGTGGAAACGCCGAGTACTGTCCTTTGTAACCCAAAACTCCTTCTTTCCACACAATCACCTCCAAGAAAAAGCAGACCTAAAAAAGTTTGCCACTCCATTGCCTTTAGTAGGTAATACATTTAGAAACAGGAGATGTTCTATTTTTAACAATTATATAATTATTTTCATAATAGGGCCTTGAAAAATGTACCTCCTAAACAGAAAAGGAACAGGCCCATCTTTCAGTATCGGAAAGTAAGTGATGACTTAATATTGAGAAATAATCCAAATGTTGTCTTAAAACCAACCGAGGAGACTTTGGGACAACATCCAATAGAGAGAGCCAGTGTTACCAGAGGCTGCAATTGTTATTGCAAGTAAGAATTTATATGCATCAATTTAGGGTCGCTCATAGAAATTTAAACTAACTGGTGGCTACGAGACATATCCACAAAGTAAGAGAACTGAGACCCTGATGCACCGTGGTTTTTGTTGTCAAAAAAGTTGGCAACACTGTAATCCGGTTGCTCCTTGCAAAGGGAAAGGTGCTTTTCCAGGTTTTTATTGAAATCGGAACTGGTTATGGGGATGGTGTGATGAATCGTACTAATGTTTACAAGTGGTGTCGTGATTATAAAACTTGCAGAACGAATGTTCATGATTTGTTCAACAAAGGCATGAGCGTCCCTCAATCGTGACTGATGAGATGCTGAACAAGATCAAAGAAATGTTTCGTGGCAACCGTCGGTTGACTTTGGACGAGATGAACGCAGTGTTTCCACAAATCACCAGATTTCTTCTGAATGAAATTATTACTGAAGCACTTGGTTATCAAAAATTGCGTGCGAGTTGGGTACCAAAACAGCTCGTAGATCAATACGAAACCAACAGATTCTCATTTTCAGGGGAATTTCTCAACTCTTGGAACTGAAAAACGAACAATTCCTTAACTGTATTGTGACTGATTTTCCTCATTGACTGTTTGACTCAGGGGAAACAATTAGTGCTGCACAGTATTGTGAGACCCTGGAAACACTACAGAGAGCAATACAGAACAAAAGAAGGGTAATGTTAACGAAGGGAGTGTGCTTGTTGCATGACAATGCGCATCCTCCCATAGGCAACGCCACAAAGCAACTTTTGGATTAATTCCATTGGAACATCATCAAACACCCCGCACACAGCCCTGACCTGGCACCTTCTGATTTTTATCTTTTCTCTAAAGGTGATTATGGGTGGAAAAAGGTTTTCTACCCATGATGAAGTCCACCGTGCCGTGAAACAATGGGCCCAAGAGGCAGCAGGAGATTTTTTTGACGGATTCAGAAAGCTAATCGCTTGGCCCACAAAGTGCATTGAGGTTGAAGGCGACTACAACAAATACTAGTATTTGATGCACCTTTCTGAATATGTAAATTTTTCATTAATATACATATTGCCATTTTGATTTTTTTAAATTGAGTACTTTTACTTTGCGGATATGCCTCGTATTTCACGATCTGGGAGAGACCATCTTTGGGGGGTGTCTATCTCTCTTAGTTTTTCAAAACATAAACAATTTTTACTTGAATTTTGGAAGTTTACTATTTTAGCAGTGACAGTTGTTTAACCATATTGCGTGCTTTATTTTATTTCAGCCAAATAATGTTCAAAAAATTAAACGGCAAAATAGTAATTTTTTTCAATGTATGTGAAAATTGTTTTTGTTTTAAGTGTACTGAAAAAGTGGGACAGACGACTGTTTTTTTCCAGTTGCTTGGCACCAATAGAAATAAAGGTCGGCACACATTCCAGTAAGTTTAAATTTCGATGGGGCGATGTAACAAAAAAGCACAAAAATTTGGAAATAAGCCTTGTAGTTATTATTTCTTTTGACACAATTTGCATTTTTCTCTTGAAGGCCACTTTCTAGAAAAACACTAGATTGCTAATATCTACCTCTCCAAAAATATAAGCAAAGGACACACAAATCGAATCAGTTTTTCTATGAAGCTGGGTACGTGATTTCACTTAAATAAAAATTTATTGATGTGGTATACAAAAATATCAAACAAACAGGAAACCACCGAGTTTTTTGGAAATTTAGTTAATTCATTTAATCATAATTATATTTCAAAAGAAAAAGCTTCATCATTCTGCATCAAACATCTTTTAGAAAAGGGTATTTTTTTAATTTGCATTTGTACCTCAAAAACTACTAAAATGTCATAAAGAATCACTCCTTAAAGTTAGTGAATATACGTAATACTATTTTTTTTAGAAGTGGTATTTCAGATTATTTTGTGAACTTAACAAAAATCGTCCAATGTAACTTTAATCGACTATTTACTACTTGTATACATCATTATAGCAAATCCTCATAATATAAATTAACAAAATTATACCTAAATATAAAATTAATGCTCTCTTGTATTTATATACTATTTCATAAAAAGGCTGAATATGATTTGTTTGTCTTGAAAAATAATTAAAATGTTTCAGGGTTTATCACGACGGGATTATATACTATGTTTCTTAAATAATGTTTTCTTTATTAGTTTAAGATCTAGAAGCATGGAAAACCTATTACCCAACCAGCCTAAATTTGTCTACAGAAGAGCTTCTCCAGAAAATATTAACAGAAAACTTTGTAAGGGATGTTAGTACCATTTTTAAAGTTATATTAACACAGTAAGCCTATTTTATTAGCTTTGTGTTATCATTCAAGTGTGTTGAATGGATTGTGTGAGGTGACCCAAACGATAGGGTTATCCATACTTGCGTTTGCAGTAGTCTTAACAATGTCATTTAGTAAAACAGTCAACTATTGGACTAATTTCATAACCAAATAATTTTCCTCACTTTAGATTTAACCGAAAATGATCACAATTTCTTTAATTTGAATGAGACCCCTATATTTTTAATTCTTAGGAAAGAGTGAAGGTCTAATAATCTCACAATCCTTTTATTAAGACGACTAGTTTCGAGGTCTACACTTTGCACCTCATCTTCAGGTCATTACAAGTATATCACATTTACAAGGTTCTGTGCAAAATTTGGAAAATTCATCTAAATAACCAGTTTATCAATTGTCAAATTTCCCTATATTTTTGTTTATTTATTTCGATTCAAAATTACTTTTTAAATCCCTTATGTTGTTGTAATTCAAATTTATATTTTCAAGGCTAAAATTATTTTTGATATGAATTAACTTGCTGTAATAAAATTTTCTGTTTAAAAGTTGGCACTGTTGTGAATCAATCAGTGACGACACGATGAAAATTAAAATTGTCAGTTTTCGTAATGAAGTGTGGGACCCACATAATTTTTTATGGGATAATTTCAGGGTCAATATACAACTTTCATCATATAAAATTTTTGAATGGAATTTGCCAAATGACCATTGGCAGCGGCAGCATTTGAAATTTAGTTTATAATGTCTTAGATAATTTAATATATTAGCCTTCTGAAACACATTAAAAAGGAAATGTTAAATTTGTAATGTGCAGCCAATTTAACTTGACTTGTATTTGAAAAACACAGTACGTGGGCTAATCGTAGCTCGCCACTAAATCTATAAAGTGTTTACAGCGGTGGTCATGGTTACCGTCGTTCAGCAGTGAAAGACGGAATGGGAGTAGAGCAGGACTATGCAGTTTGGGCTCTCTTTAATTCGACCATAACCAAATTCAAGAGCCACCATTGCAAATGACAATAAGGGTAGCCTCCTCTTAGATCTCAAAAAGGGTTGCACATATATGTACAAAACTATTTTTTAATAATCAGCTGATAGATAAACTTGTTTCTTAGTATTTTTATCAAATTTTCATTTTTCTTAGTTGCTGCATTACGAAATTTAAAAAATGGAATTTAAAATGTCAAATTAAACAGATATAACAACGAAGGAAATTTAATTTCTTGAAAAAATATCTGATTTTATTTATCCATTAATTATGAAAAAAATATTTTGCTTGTACGACTTTTCAGAATCTAGAAGAGGCTATCCCAATTTTCCTTTTCCTCAAATTTCATTCCAAATGTTTTCTACATGAAAGTTCACAGTACAAGCATAGATATCATCCTCTATAAAACGGTATGGGTATGAGTCCTGATGTTACATTGACAAAATTTCCGTTATTGGAAAATTTAACTTTATTTTTTATCCAATATGATCTCGTTAAGCCTAATGTAAAACCAACTATCCATCATTAATGCTTTAACAATTATTATACGTCTTTAGTTTTGTTTAAATAAATTAATTTTACTACTAATATACTAATATAACTAGTTAAGGGGTATCTATTTTGATTTTAAGGCTTCTATGGCAGTCATTGGTTAAATAAATTTCGGTCTGGTTGCCACTCATGGATTTAGATTTTTTTGACATTTTAAAATGTTTTCTAGGACTCTAACTCTTGTTTGAGAGCTGCGTCTTGTAACAAGAACGATACATTTCTCAAAGTGACAACTGACTAGAAATTATTTGACCATTTTGATGCCTGTTCATTCTTTATGGTCACTTGTAGCTTCAGGCGATGATTTTTAAGAAGACTGTCTATTTTCCAGGTACAAAATGTAATTACGAAAGGAGTCATGGTGATATGTACTGTCCTATTTGTAACAAATACCAAGATTTATTCACACCAAATTCTTCCAATGTGGTAAAACAATATATTCAACTTCAGTATCCATTAAAAATAAATATCGTCTTTCTAGAATAATTCTGTTTCAACAAATAATGTGTATACCAAAGTATATAAGCCAAGTAAGTTGTGTTCGCATTGCAAACGAATGGCCAAGTTCCATGTCAGATCCAGCACAGGTTCCGCATGCGAATCTGACGTTTCAGACAGCTCTAAGAAGAAAGTTTGCTTTTGTCTGCCCAAGGAAACCGCAAATAGTTTAGCACAACAGTTGCATGAAAGGTTGTCTAGAACCCTGGAAAGCAACCGTAGGTTCATTAATAATTGCATGTACTGTGAGGATACTGCCGAGTAAGTAATAAAAACACATATTAAACAAAAGCGTTATATTATCTTATTCAACTTGTAAGTAAAATAACATTGAAAATTATTATTTTTTTTGATTAATAGAAATAAGCTACATATTCTAAAATATAAAAAATTATATAAAAATAAATCTATCACAATTTCTGTAGAACATTAATACAGGATGTCTCGTATTGAACACATGAAAATTTACCAGGTGACGGAAATCCTCAAATAAGATTATTTAAGTTGAAGTTTCTAAGAGTATTCCACTTTTTATCGTTTATAACACAAAATGATGCATAAACACTCAAGGGAAGAAAAGGACAGAGACAACTGTGGGGTCTAGTTAAAATGTCACTTTCTAAAATCAGCACTTTAACATTTGGACTTTTTTTACACAAAATTAGTTACTGATTTCTTAGTAAAAACAATTTGAGCTTTATTAGTAGTTTTTTTGGGACAAAAATCTAATTTTAAAGTTCTGGCTTTAAATAAATTAAATAATCATACCAAAAAAGAGGTAATGTAAAGTTTTACCTGTCTGCTAGTTTAGGTCATCATTTTTTATCTTATAAAGGAAATTGGGTGAATCTTCATGTTTGTGAATCTTCATGTTTATAACTTTGGGTGTTTTGAATATACCTATAAACCAATTGCCCGGCTCATATCTATTTATAGCAACTTATGGTGAGTCTATAAAAAAGTCTTAGTCTTAACTTACTCTTAACTTGGCCTTAATTTTTGTTTTAAGAAGTTAAAACGGGTTTCAATGTGCTAGTTTACAAAAATCTTAACGTAACCTTAGTCTTACGGAAATCTTGAGGCCTGATCTTGGAAGTTCATCTTCCAACTTAGGATAAAGATTAGTACCATTAGTGCCCAAAATTGTATATGGCTAATATTTAAGGTCAGGTTAAGACAACATTTTTATAAATGTAAAAATATTAGGATTAAAACAGAGGCTTAAGTTTAGGATAAAACTATAGCTAAGCTAGGATAGACTTTTCCATAAACTCGTCAGTATTCTAATTTTGAGTTCTATCTAGCGAGGGCTTGCAAAAATTGAAATGGTTATATTTTGAAAATAAATATTAAGATCTATATTGTTTTTTACAAAATGATTTCTAAGCTCACAAAGTGAAAGGACTCCGCAGCGAATCCTTATGTAAATTGGTTTTCGGTCAAATGGTTTGAAACCAGGTGATTTTTGTAGCTTTTGAATGGTAGATTAAGTATCAATGGGCGTCAAACTCTAAAAATTCATGGTTCAAAGTTGCAGCTCGCTGAAGCTACAATGCTTTAGATTTCACTACCTGCACAGTATAGTAAAAATAAATACTCCATTTTTGCTCAATGCCCAATAACCCAATAAACTATCGCCGATATATCGAGATCTCTGACTGAAAGGGTTAAAAACGATATTGAGATGATCTTTCTGATCACGCAGTACAATCGATTTTTCACAATCATTATCGTACAATAAAAATCATAGCGATTGCCGTCTGCATTTGCGTGACCCGATGTGGACCATGGGGAGGTTGCTAGATCGAACTTAGCACATCATGGGATTGATCGGAGTACTTGATATTATTTCGAAGCTGCTCGTAGCCTAAAAACCAAAAATGCAGGCAATACGAGCGCGTGTGCCTAAAGTCCAGTCACCAGATAAACATTTGCAATAACATCTTATTCCGTTCATTTGTATGCTCGTCAACAAACTCTTTATAATTTTTCCTCACGATTTTATCGTCATCTAGTTGTTTCTGGCTTAAAGTTCGGCAAGTCGTCGCAGCATGCATAAAATATTATGTTGCTTTTAGCGGCTCGAAGTGAATACAGCGTTTTTGAAATAAAATGTTACTGAATGCATAAAAGCATTAAGCTATCACTTAATATATTTGAAAAGAATTACTAGATAGATTAACATTTCTTTACATTATTTCACCAAAATGTACTTTTGAGTATCATCCCGTTATACACATGGCAGGTGCAACTGTTGAACTGGCTCAACAAATGTTGTTAAAATCGCAAACTCCTAATGTCGTTCAAGCCAGAGTTGAAGTAGAAAATCTTGTAAGAAGAAATGGTCAATGGTTACATTACATCATGATGATATCCTTGATTTTCCTATTCTTAACCTGGGTGACTTACAAGACATAACTGTCAGTATTTATCAGGTTAAGCTTTCTCCATCTTATATACAAGATAAAATCGTGAGGGAAAATGATGAAGAATTTCAACTAGACGATAACATAATACAATATTATTGCACATGTCAATCTGGTGCCCGGAAGTACCCTGATGAATCCTTGAATCCATCATCAGATGCACGCAATGAGAACGAAAATAATATTGAAGTATTATGTTAAGGCATTAGATTCCTGCTAGACAGGATCTTTCAACTCTGAAAATCAGCCCTTTTTAGGACTACATGATGTCCTAAGTCCGATCTAGCAACCTCCCCATGGTGCACATCGGGTCAAGCAAATGCAGACGGCAGTCGCTATGATTTTTATTGTAAGATAATGATAGTGAAAAATCGATTGTACTGATCATGATCTGAAAGATCATCTCAATATCGTTTTTAACCCTTTCAGTCAGAGATCTCGATATATCAGTTTATTGATTTATTGGGCATTGAACAAAAATGTAGTATTTTTTTACTATACTATGCAGGTAGTGAAATCTAAAGACTTGTAGCTTCAGCGAGCTGCAACTTTGAACCATGAATTTTTAGGGCTTGACGCCCATTGACACTTTTAATCTACCACTCAAAAGCTACAAAAACCACCTGGTTTCAAACCATTTGACCGAAAACCAATTTACATAATGATTCCGGCAAGGCCGTTTCATGACAAAAAGTTTCTAATGAAATTTGCAAAATAAAAAGTTAAGTCGACACTGAGGTCTCAAAAAAGTGTTGATTTCGTAGTAATGTCTACTTAAATTTGAATTTGACACTAGCATTCCAATTTTTAAACTTTATAATGCTATAACTTTGAGAAAAACCAAAATTTTGTGAAAAGTAAAACACCTATTTGTATCTATTAGTCGATTATGAAAAAATATGTATATTTTGCGAATATGTGCGACCCTTTCCGAGATTTTAGTCGGACATCCCTATTTTAATTTTTTATTTCTCAAATTTCTTTTGACATTTTTTCAGAACAAAAGTTATCTATGTGGGTATAGGAATTATTCCTTAAAAAATAAGAGTTCCACGCTTCATAACAAATTTAATTTTTGCGAGCCGTCAGTGGTTCTATCTTTAGGTAAATTTTGGTCAATGCATTTAAGAAACCCTGTGTATTACATACAAAAGATAACCAGTGAGGTAATTAGTTTGAAGTTTGTATTTGTAAGACTAGGATGTTTTAAGAATAATAATAAATGTATTTCATTGGATAAAACGAATGGTCATTGACTTTATTAAAACTAATGTTCTATTAAATTACTCTTTTACTTGTATATAATGTAACAATTTCTTTACTTTTAGGTAAACCATCAACATTGTAAGAAACTAATAGTAAATAAATATACCTCAAGAATTAAGTACAAAAATGAATGTAGTAAATAAAGTTAATAAAAATAATACAATAAAACGAAACATATTTTTTAATAATTTTATATATGTCTTCAGCATTTAACCAATAGTTTATTAAATAACAAATACCCATTTTTTGTCATATGTGTCTCAGATCTCAGTATTTTGTCGATATAAACTGCCAAATATTCTTACAGGCCAGTAAAACAATTTAACTAAACTGCAACTAGAAAGTTGCTGTGTTTAGCTGCCAGAGCTAGCAATAAATCTGAGTATTTTCAAACTTACTTTGCAATTTTAATTTTTCATCAAAGAACCCCGCAACTATCCTTATGGTAAACCTGTCCCAGTCGGATGGTACAAAACCTTGCCGAATGATAGTCCTCAATGTGTCCATCAAAAAAGTCCATGGGACCGAGGTCTGAAAAACTACTGTTCTGAAGCTACAGCCTTCTGAAGTTATCGAATCCACATGCTCGTGATCATCAAGTCCAATGATTTACAGGCGAGTAAAAGCAAATATTTCTTTATAAAGTGACCAAGGTTGTTTCTTGATGTAGTTTGGTGTGCTGAATGGGAACGTGGTCAAAATAGCTGTATCATCCTTCAGTCTTCAGAAAATCGTTGAAGCACCTACTGAAGAACAGTGATAGTGACATGTACTGCTTGAGCGACATCTTATGTTTTTACGCATGCTGAACACTTATCCGTCATCAGCATATCTGCAGTATTCCTCAGTCTTCAGAAAGTAGCTGAAGCACCTTCAGAAAATTTGACTTTATGGTCATCGAGCATGTGGATTTGATAACTTCAGAAGGCTGTAGCTTCAGAACAGTAATTTTTCAGACATAGGTCCCATGGACTTTTTTAATCGACACGTTGAGGACTATCATTCGGCAAAGTTTCGTACCATTCGACCGGGACCGGTTTTCCATATGGATAGTTGCGGAGTCCTTTAATGCTCTCTAGTGGCCAAAAGAAGCAACTTTGATTAAAGGATACAGGTAAATCAGTTAAATAGTTTATTTTGACCATAAAGATTTTTTTTACATAAGGTTGGTACTATTGGCTTTGTCCCTAGAGTAATTCAAAACAGTTTCCAACAAAAGTATGCACATTTGCGAGATTTACATAAGGATAAAAATTCATTGTTTCAAACCAAATGTGATTGCAATTGACCGTTAGAAACTATTTCTTATGTAAATATACATAATTTCTACTGACAGTAATCAGGTGTGTCTATCTTCCTAAAATAAAAATCGGTATAATAGGAAAGTTCAGTAAAATTGCAAATCTACAAAAAAATTATCTACAGAAACATGTCGAATGAATTAATTTTTTGTAAGTAAATTGTAACAAAGCTGAACTTTGGGATCAGTTGCTTGTTTCAAAATTGAATCGATTTCTCGGTACATAGTTCTTATTCCGCCAATGTTATCAAATAAATCACCCTTAGTGGTAATCAGTTCCATAACTAAAATACAATTTAAAGTTGAGGTTTTATATTTTAATATTTCGGTCAATAAGTGTATTACTTCTTCGTCACTTCCAAAAATACAAAATTCAGCTGTTATTGTACAAAATTTTAAAAAGATAAACCCACCATATTTAGCCTCAATATGTTCTGCAAAGTCGGCAATACTTTTTGAATACAGCTCAATCTTGCCGTTTGCCTCTTTTTTAAATCTTAACAAATTGAGTAAAACATGCTCCTTAAATGTGTCTAGTTCAGTAAATACCTTTTCCCATTCAGTAGAAAATTTTATAACAAATTCTAAATCCACTTCCTCTTTAGAGGCTGTGGTAAAAAATACATTGAAAAAGTTATATATCATACTTTGTTCCTTACTCTTTAAATAAAAAAACTTTGCTTTACAATTAGATAATAACGAAAATACATAATTAAAATTATCAGTTTGATTTTTATGATGCATTAAAAATTTTATTACAAATTCAAATATATTATCAATTTCTTCTCCTTTTTTGTAATTTGTCCCAAAATAATTGTTTATAATGGCCTTGCAAAAATCTTGAGGCAAATTTGAAAGACATTCTTTATCAATGTTATCTAAGACTGTTGACATCAGTTTGTTAAAACCGATTGCATTCGGACTTGTTTTTAATTTCTCCAATAAATTCCAAAAATTTATTATATAGCGAGGTTTATAATTTTTGGGAATTTGCACAGACGATAGTACCTCCATTGATTCTATATCATGCTCTTTTAAGAATGTCATGTATGAAAGCAGTTTTTCAAAACATTCCCGAGTCTGAACTTTTGTAAAATATCGCAATGAGCTTAGGCACAAACATTTCTGTAAAGATGCATTTTTATCTTCTTGGAAGGAACTAAATATTTCTAAAACTTTTTTTCGGGGGAACACATAACGTGCCAAAAAAAGGCCATGCTTCTTGACCGACATAGCTTTGTTATCAGTTATTTTGTTTAGATAAACTTCCAATTTATTTTCTGGAATTTTATGAAAAGCAACATATAAGGGAGTCAAAGATTCTCGTAAGTAATCCCCTTGGCAAAATTTGTCTATTAACAGTGGAAGATATTCCAGTGGATTCCAAACATTTTGAAATTTTTTCAGGAAAACTTTTTGAATTTTAAACATTTCTCTCGATTCTGTATCATCAACCGCTATTTTTGAAGAAGTGGGTATAAGGTTAAGATCTTCTATAGTTTTTATATATAATTCAGGAGTTCCTATTATGGATAGAGGTTGGATAAATTTAGATTTTTGATCAGTATCATCTTTCTTTAACTGATCTAGACAGTACTTTACAACCTTATCATCTAATGATACATGACTGTATTGTTTGATTATATGCCAAAAATGGTACTTTTGTGATAGCGATGCTTCGATTATTAAGTCAAAATTGTTCACAACTACCATAGGATCATATGTGAGGAACCACTGTAAAACCTGAAACAAAAACTCATTTTTATCTTAATCAAGTTGAACAAGGTTCAATTAAATATCCAGAATTACTGAATACAAAATTTGACAGGGTGTTTTCTTTAAGTTGGTGTTTTCCTTTTAACCAGACGTAGAACTCGACAAAGTAAGCAAATTTTTTATACACCATTTTCTCAAAATTTAGAAAATAACGAGATTTGAAATAATGTGAATACGTCCCTGTGAAAAATCTGAACACAATCTTCAACTGAATTTTATTAATAGGTATAGTAATCACGTTTTCCTTTTTTTGTTTGCTTTACCGTTAATTCACACATAACTAGCTATAGCTGTATTCGTAGAAAGGAATTAGGCACCCTCTCTGCGGTACGATGGGGGAAGAATGTTGGCTTGGGTCAACGTGAGAAATTGATACTGGTCAATGTGACCATCCCCCTAATTAATGAAGTTTTCCTGATTTCCCTCATTACTGCACTGAATGGTGGTTAAGGCTACCAACATGTCATTCCTGGGTGCGGCCTACTGAATAATAATATGTCGTTCCCTCTCTTGCAAAAGTCTCTGACTTCTGAGTTAATCTTTGCGACTAGAATGATTGGTAGACAAATTATTATTATAACAGGACATGTCATGAAAGTAATGGTAATTTTAGGTTTTAAAGAACGTGTGGCTACAAAAAAAAGACAGGATTGTTAATATAAAATGTTCTCTTTATAATTTTTTCAACAACACTTTTATCTTCAATATATTTTTCTTATTGATCTCTGCACTGCTTTATATGATTCTACTACTGCTCAAGGCAGTATTGAAAAGTATTTTCTGAAAGAACCATCATGCCCTCCATCACTTTTATGTTCCCTGCTTCTGCCATTTTAAATGTGGTTCCTTTTAGTGTCAAATTATTTTTGGAAAAAAAAGTCACATGAAGCTAAATCAGGTGAATAGGGGAAGTATTTCTAGCACAAGGTTCCCGTAGTTGGCCAAAAACCTCCTTATCAACAATTGATTTATTAACTAATCAGGCCGTTTTCTTCTTCCTCCACTCCACTCATGAAAGCTTTTCAGCAGTGTTTTTATAATATTCTTGTTCGAGTTTTCGGCACAATGCTGCTGCTTATGATTAACAATCATCACTATATATTTCTTTTATTAAAAAAAAAAACAGATTTTCCAAGTTATACGAGGAATTTCACATCGACACTGCTAAAATTTAACACAGCATTTTTCCAATACAATGTAAATGTACAATTAAATTCAAATGGATGCTATGACCGCACTAAACAGTATGTGGTTTTGAAAATTTAGCAGTAAGTTGAAGAGATGAACCTTGGCCTGTTTTGTAGTAAAAGAAATAGTTTTTTCTAACTATACTTTATAAATAGGTGTTTATAATAGCACATATTTATAATAGTGATGAATCATTAAAATGCTGCCGTAGTATCACCATTGTGTGTCAAATGTTTTTTCCCTCGCAAGTTCATCCTATAGCTATAGATTTATTTATGTTGTTCAATGGAGTAAGAAACAGTGGCAATGATAAAAGGCCATTTAAAATGCTGCAAGTCGTACATGTTTTACATATCGCTGAAAAAGATGCAACTAATACCAGACACAGTACACACCTAACGACAAACCAAGGGGTCTTATAATAAAATATGGACTACTTTATATGAAAATTAACTTTATTCTTATCGAGTACCATGATTTATAGAGTTATGCCAAAAATTCGTAGTCACTGGAAATGCCTACAGTGAAGACTGGCGAAACCTTTGGAAGCATTGGATGCGACCAGTTACAGGTCACTACAGAACATTGCAGAGGCTCTCATTGTTTGAGAAGTGGTTCTGTCCATAGTGGCTTCTTCTCTTCTTCTTCTTCTTCTTTCCAGTGGTTGGTCCTAATAAGTTCCATGGCACCGCGGCCTAATTAGGCTTATTGTGCGTCCCACTACTAGTCCTATTCAGCAAGTAGTTTTGTCCTTTTGACAAAGTCCAAAAGCTTCCTTGCTGACACTTCTCTCAGTTCCTTGGGTTCCAAATAAGGTCTCCCCAGGAGAGTCGTCTCCCCAGGAGAGTCATTCTACTGCGTGCAAATCCCGGGCACTCGCCCAGTATATGCAGAGAAGTTTCATCCGTCGAGTCACATCCTCGGCAGACCGGACTGTCTACAAGCTTTAGCTTATGTAGATGTTTCCTAAAGTGACAGTGTCCCGTTATGAGTCCTGTCACCCTCCTGAGCCTGATTTTATTCAAGCTCAGTAAATCCTCTGCTCTTTCCTTCGAAGGATACTCCATGAGCTCCTTAGAATGGCTATGTCCTGGCCTTGAAGTCCAGTATTTCCTATGTTCTGTCTCGGTTCATTTGCCTAGAGCTCGCTTGACCACACTGGGAGATGTACCACAAAATGAACTCTGTCTCGGATCCCTTCCTAGCAAGTTCATGCGCTTTCTCGTTCCTACAAATGCCTTTGTACCCTGTCACCCAATACAGTCTAACTGTACTATTGGTGGCCAGTTCAGTCAGTATTTGTAAACAGTCCCACACAAGTTTTGAACTTATCTTGTGTGCGCCTAAAGCATTAATTTCAGCTTGACTATCAGAGAACATATACAGGTTCGGAAAATTCCCATAGTACAACGGCCATTACGTGAGAGCGATAAAGGAAGTCATAGAAATCCGTGCGATAGACAAGGATGGTTACATTGAAGACGTTTCATAACCTGAATAGTCACTCCTACTTCTAACCCGAAATGGGCCGTGACTATCCAGATTATGAAACGTCTTCACTATAGCCATCCTTGTCTATCGCAGGGATTTCTTTACTTTGTCACTCTCATGTAAAGGCAGATGGACCATGTGGATTTTCCAGCCCTGTATATGAGTTTACGTTTATAACCTCTACGTACATTCTCAGCCAGGCACGTCATTATCGCGAAATTTTCTGCTTGGAATACGGTAGGGAACCCCCATAGTGGCTTAGAATTAGCAATAAGAACCAAAATGAACTTTAGGGCAAGTATAGATGTTCTGATAGCAGATTCACCTCCACATAGCCTAACCCGAGTATAACAAAGGCAGGTCAAAGATTCCTAGCTAAAGAAGTGCAATATAAGTCTGTAAAGTGGCGTAATCAGGTTCATAGGCCATGACCCTGAAAAAACATTGTGCTTCTACTAATATCAGTACAAGCTTTGGACTAGTATTGTTAATGGTGATTTTATTGGCCTTCATTTATGTAGATTGAATGACATGCTTTTAACATTTATAATTTTTGCAATTTAACTTGCCTGAAAACCGTGTGATGTTAAATGTAAGGCAATACATGTGGTTTTGACATGCATGATTATCTGAATATCCTACATAGTATATTTTATATCATTTTTATATTATGATTTATATCTATCTGAGGGGTTATATGAAAATTTAGTGCATAAGACTGAACACAGGTATTATGGAGGTATTATACTTATGCATAGAAAACAACATGGAAATAATTCTGACACTCACTTCTCACACCATTAGGCAGGCCCAACTTTACCTAAATTATACGGTAATATTTTTAACTTCGTAAATTTTTTGAATTTGAAACATTTTATTGAGTGTCATATTAAAAGGAAAACTTGTAACTTAAAAAACATCCCGTATGTTTGTTTACATACTTACAAGATCAAAACTAATTTGCCTCAATGATTTATTCACCCAGAAATAATTTAGTAGTTCATTTTCAAATTCATTGCGATTTAATTTGCAAATAAGTGTGGGAAAATATTTTTCAAAATTATGCGTCATATATTGTCCTTCTTTTGTAATACTACTTAAACATTCAACCAATGTTTTATTGTCCTGTATGTATAGATTTTCCTGGGTATTTGGAATTGAACCAAAATATTTTTCCTATACATTGAGTTATTTTATAGCAGCTGTCACTATCACTTTTCACAATTGTATCTAAATATTCTGTAAGCTGTAACAAGATGGCCCTCTGGACTTCTGCTGATTTTTTTATGATATCAAAGTCTAAGTATAAGCTACAATATTCTTCTTGTTCCTTTATGTATTCCAAAATGAAAAAGCTTTTATCCTCCTCTGACCCATTATTATTAAACAGATATTCAATATGTTTTAACCGGAAATTAGACATATATTGTTCATACTCTTTGTTTAAAGTATGAATATTCAAAATTTCAATTATATATTTCCACTGGCTGGAGGTCAATTCATCTAAATTAAAGTTGTATTCAATTGTTTGCAAAACCTGAACTCTTGTACTTCTATCATCATTCTTGTGTCTAATGCAGAAGTATTTTAGAACCTGAAGCAATATTATATTATATTGTAAAAAATAGGAAATTTCTTTGTCATTTAGATCCACTAATTTTTTATTGTATTTAAATAACATTCTAATAAAGACGTTAAGTTTAAATTAGAATTTGTTACATGAAAAACCTTATAACGATAACTCATGAAATTAGATTTGTGAAGGACTGTAAATTAATTTTGAGGGATTTTTTCCATCTCTAGCCACTACCTTTTTGCATTTTTCTAGCAGCATACGGATTCCACATCAAAAGAACAACTCATCTTTTGATGCTATCCACCAATCGATCCAATTTTTCGTATCTTCATAAGATTGAAAGCACTGCTTAGCTAGCCTGTGTTCCATGGATTGGAACAAGAAGTATTCGGATGGAAGAATATCTGATGAATATGGCTGCTGGGATAAAACATCCCATTTCAACGTTTCTATTTTTTGACTTCATGAGCAGCATGTGGTCGAGGCTTATGTTGAAAAATTACTTTATCAGGCCTTTATTCGAATTGTGGGCATTTTTCCTTCAATGCATGGCTCAAATGCTTCAATTGTGTTCAGTAGTGTTTCCCAGTGATGGTTTCATTCCCTTGAGGCAACTCATAGTATACAACACCAAAATGGTCCCACCAAATACAGAGTATGAGCTTCGAACCATGAAGATTCGGCCTTACCATCGATGTTGATGCATGACCAAGCAAACTCCACAAATTTCTACGCCTAGGATTATCATAGCACATCTATTTTTCATCGCAAGTGACGATACGATGCAAAAAAAAACCTTTTCTTTTTTGCCGTTGAAGTAATTATTCACGTGAAAAATCGCCATTCAAAATCTCTTGGCTTCAATTCGTGTGGCACTCAATTTCCTTGCTTTTGAATCATACCGAGTGCATTTAACCATTTGTAAACTGTTGCTCGATAAACATTCAATGATTGAGCAAGTTCATCTTGCGTTTGACATGAATCTTGGTCGAGTAATGCTTCCAATTCCTCATCTCATCTTCGAACTTTTTCTGGTGACCAGAACGTTATTTCTCAACTGTATCAAAATCACCACTTCTAAAATGTCAAAACCAATACTCACACGTGTTTATTAATGGAGTATGTTCACTGTAAGTTTCCAACAGCACTTATGATTTTTTTTTAATTAAACAGAAAAAGTAAAACTTCCCGCAAATGGCGTTTTGTTGGCTCGCAATTTGACATCTTCGGAGCTGAGAAAAAATATGATGTTTACACTTTAACAAAATGACACAAAAAGTAAAGCCTAATAACAGACCTTTGACATGAATATAATTAAAAAAAAAGAAGTGTCCAGTGCGATATGGTTAGTAACATAAGTTACGCCATCTATTGTAAATCCCTCAAAATTAATTTACGGTCCTTGTATAATAAAGAGAAGAAAAAATTCATGCATTAATAAAGGTCCAAATATTTTTAACTACCTACTTACCTCTTCTAAAGATTTTAAATCCTTATTTACAGCACAACAATTTACTAACAGATATATTAGTTTTCTTCTGTTTTTAATACAGGAAGTTGTGTTAATTTTTTCTTTAATTATAGGAATGGATTTATTAATTTCATAGTATTTTAAATATTTTTCATCGCCACTTTCTTTATATTTCAATTGGGCCCAAGCTTCCCTTACTTTACTATCATTAATCAAGTCCAAGATATTATCTGCAATACAGCTAGTATAATTCCAAATATCTTTCTTTATAACGTCATTGAATGTTTTGCTAAACAAATTGTACTGATCACTTTTTGGATAATACTTCAAAAGAGTGTCACACAATGATCTTCTGTATTGTATTGCTTCAATTTTTCTAGGAAATAAATTATAATAAAGATGTTTAAAATGACCCTGTTTGTTTAATTTTCTCACCAAAGTTTCATATCTCAAGTATTTTATGTACTTATCTGGATCATTTACAATTTCTTTTGTTCTTGTTGGTATCAACTTTTTAGTGGTTCTGCGACCTAGTTTTAAACCACCGCTAATTTGGTATTTTTCAATTAATTCCCAAAAATAAATAGGGTTCTGTTGAGCTAGATATATTAAAAAGTTGTTATCAAAAATATCATTATTATAGTACTGGTATTGTTCTTCTAAATAAATTTTAATTAATTTAGGTTCTTTTTTGTATATCATTTTTAGCTGATGAATTGAAAATTTTATTTTATAATCCTTTAAAATATCTGTAATTTTTTGTGAGTTGCATGAAGTTATAAGTGTCTCTGCTAAAACCAATCCGTACCTACAAGATTATAATATTATTAAAATACATATTAAAGCACATATATTTTTTACAGAAATCAAATAACTGAACAAACAAATGTCTAGAGTACCTGATAATTTTGCAATTATCGAATGTTATTAGCCGAAAAGACGGAATCAGCAAATGTGGGAAATGTTTTCAAAGAAAACCCGGAGAAATGACATGTTAACCCGAAGCCCGAAGATGTACCATCAAAACCCGAAGACTCAAAATTTTATTTGAACTAATTCCCCTCAATTTATAACATAGAATCTATTGGCAACATTAGCTAATTAGTACCTAGTCTAATTATATTAAGCATATTTAAATAAACAAACATTTATATTGGTGCCCTGAAACGATAAATACTAGCAGGCAAATTTTTAATTAAAAAGTTACTCACCTACTCATAACATGATCAAAAACTTGGCCTATCTTCTCTTCACTATACACATAGGAGAGACTTCTCAATAATTTTATTTTAATAGAAAAAGAGAGCAAAGGCAAAAAATCATCTACAAGTGTTTTAGGAGTAATATTACTAAATGCCTCCTGGAAAAACCATGGATGTTTCATTATTTTGCTGACAAAAACTTCATTCCCTTCTTTAAAAATTTCCACTAATCTACTAGTTTCTTTGTAATATATCAAAATATTGACATATAATAAATTTTCCAAGTATGTTTTACGACTGATGTTGTCTAATATAAACTCTTTTTCATCTAGAGAAAAGGAAATATCTTTTAGAAATTTGTTTAGATTTCTTCGTCGTTCTCCAATTGATTCCCCTCCTATTTGAGAGAACTTTGTTAGAAAAACATGTGCCATGATGAGTTCACTAAAAGAAAAAAATTACTAGATGGAATAAAAAAAGAATTACTAAAAAAAAAATTAAAACAGTAATATACACTTTAAATCGCTTATTTTTTCATATTACTCAAAATGCTTTCATTTAATTTTAAAAAATATTTTAATTTTAATGTTTATCTGTAAAACAGGTGCAACTTATATTTTTTAAATCTGGATGTCTGATTTCTTAAGTGAATTTTTTAAATTTTAGTAAAATAGTAATTAGGCAGGTATATTACTAATTATTGATAATTAATGATTTGTTTAGCATTGTGCAATGTATTTAATTTAAATAAAATTTAGTAATTTTGAAACTATAAATAAAATGTAAGTACTTCTGTTATACCTATAGTTCTTATGTGTTAAAAAAATAACCTATACTACAACTTACCTTAGTTTTTATGTTTTTTATTTACTTATTTATGCCTTTCCTTCTTGCTTTTCGTGCTCTTGCATTTTTCGATCATCAGTCTGTATATGAAGCCCGCCCTGTACCTGTATCTTTTGTTTTGTGTATGTTATTGGTCTGTGCGTCTGTGGCTTAGAGCATATACTACTGGACTGTACTCGCCGCGCCGCGCCATTATTCCATGGCTAGAAATTGGCCTCAATGATTTGGGATCGAGGGGGATTATCCCTCTTTATCCTGCCTCATCTCGTGTAGGCCTGGACAGCCTTCGTAGGTGGGTCCCATCCGTCGTCTACCCCGACCGCAAATGCGGCCGGTGTAGGCGCTTTGTGGGACCTCCATTTGTCCTGGCTGGGCCCCGCTGGCTAGGGCCCTTTCTTCTGGCGCTCTTCTTGCTTCGCCGGCACTTATATTATTTTTTGTTACAGAATTATTAAGCTCCTATTGGTACTGACTAGTGACTACATCAGTCTATGACAAATATCCTCAGAAATATTTTGAGAATGAAAGTAAGTTGCAACTCGACACGCATGAGAACTACTACTATAACAGGTATGTTTTATATTTATTATAAATATTAATAAAATATAAATGTATCAAAATAATCCTTAAACAAATAAAGTTGGGCAATTTACGTGTTGATCAATTTATTGTAACTAAGAATATAGCAAATTGTGATAATATCTGTAAATAGTGTGATGTGGGCAGGATTACTACGTTTTTATAAAGGTTTTCGACAAAATACGGAAAATAGCAATGAATTTTTTTTTAACAGTTTCATATAGAAAAAAATCGAAAATTTTAAGTTAAACTTGTTGCGATGTTTGGTATAGAGTTTATAACATTTTAAACGTTAAAACTTTTAAACTTTGCATGATTTCCTTTGATTTTTAGATGCAGATAATTCGATATTACAAAAAAATATAGGATGCTAGGTCTCGTACTACTCAAACCAGTGTGAATAAAAGTTTATATGATGGTTCTTATGAATTTTACAATCTCAATTGTGTTTAAAGGTAAATTGTTTTCTTACACCAAAAAATTAAAAGTTGTATTTTTTAATACATTTGCAAAAGGTAACATACTTACTTTCCTAAATTCAATACTTTTTATTGATAAACAACAAACTTAACAATATTCTTCCTAACTTACGAAGAATTTCGTTTACAAATTCATGAAAACATGAAGTAACCTGACAATAGTGATTGCTAAATTAAAATAAATAATAAGAATAATTTTCTTCATTTCTGACCATCGCAACCAATAGGAAAAATGTCTAAATTATACATAGTTTGTATTGGATTCATTTAAACAAAGAAAGATATAACAGTTATAACGAAAACAAGTTGAAGACACATCATCATCAGTCATCACTATCTATGGTTATTTAATTTTTTGCATATAAGTTGTAACACATTTGCACCCTGGAATCAGTTATTTGTTTTAAAATAAAGTCAATTTCTTGATATATAGCTCTTAACCTATTCTTATAAAATAAATCGCCTTTCATGATAATTAGTTCCATAACTAAATTGCAATTTAATGTTGATGTTTTATACTTAAGCATTGCAGTCAATATTTCAATTATTTATTTTTCTTTCTTTTCGAAAATACAATGTTTGGCTATTATTGGAATACATTTTGAAAACACAATATCTCCGTATTTTTCATTGATGTCTTCTGCGAAGAGAACAATATGCTTCGAATACAATTCAGTATTATCTTTCGTGTCTTTTTTAAATTTCAATACGTTTAGTAAAACGTTCTCCTTAAATGTGTCATTAGGGGTGAATATTTTTTCCCATTCTCTAGAAAATTTAATAACAAATTCTAAATCTGTATCAACTTTTTCAGCTGCCGTTATAAATTCATTGAAAAATCTATGAACTACGTTTCGCTCCTTTCCTCTTAAATTCCAGTACCGCGATTTATAATCAGATAATAATTTAAAAATGTAATTCAAATTTTCACTTTGGTTTTTATGGTACATTAAAAACTGTATTGTAAATTTAAAAATGTTATAAATTTCTTCTTCTTTGTTCAGGTTTGTTCCAAAATATTTATTTATAATGGCCTTACAGAAGTCTTCTGGTAAATTTGAAACGCATTTTTTATCAATGTTATCTAATACAGTGGTCATTAGTTTGTTGAAACCAACTGCATTTGGATTTATTTTTAATTCTTCAAATAAATTCCATAGGTGTATTATGTAGTAAGGTTGATAATTTTTCGGAATTTGTGCAGATGCGAGTATCTCCAATGATTCCGTATCATGTTCCTTTAAGAATGTCAAATATGAAAGCAGTTTTTCAAAATATTCCCGAGTCTGAACTTTTGTAAAATATCGCAAAGAGCTTAAACATATGCATTTTTGTAAAGATTCATTTTTATCTTCTTGGAAGCTGTTAAATATTTGCCAAACTTTTCCTTGATTGAACATATTACATGCTAAGAAGAGTCCTTGTTTCTTCACAGACATAGCCTTGTAATTAGTTAATTCGTTAAGATATATATCCAATTTATTCTCGGGAATCTTATGAAATGCAATATATAAAGAAATTAAAGATTGCCGTAAGTAATCTCCTTAACAAAATTTGTCTATTAGCACTGGCAGATATTTCAGTGGATTCCATACGTTTTTTAAATTTTTCAGAAAAACCCTTTGAAGTTGATATACAGTTGCAGCTTCGGAATCCTTAACATCAACTTTTGAAGAAGTAGGTATAAGATCAAAATCTTCTATGGTTTTTATATAAGTTTCAGAATCTTGTAATACTGATAGAGCTAGAGGAGTATGACATTTCTTATTCTTGTCACCATGTTCTAATAGATGTATAAGTACACCGTTTTAATATCTTTTCATCTAATGATAAATGATTATATCGTTTAATTAATCTCCAAATATACATTTTTGGTGGCAACGTATCTTTTATAGAATCAAAATTGTTTACAATTACCAAAGGATCATATTTAAGATGCCATCGTAAAGGCTAAAATAGAAAAATAATAGTACATTATACTATAAGGGAGATAAATGTGTTATTTTGGCAGAGGTGTAATTTGAAGCCCGAGGGCTACAATGCACCGAGGACAAAATAGCATCTCTCCCGAATGGTATATACTATTTTTTCCACGGTCTCATTAACTTAAAAACATATTTTGTCATTATGAAGTAAGCAGCACCAGAATTATTGAATTCGGATTTGAGTATTTATTTAGTAGTCGTTGAGTTATTGTCATAACTGTATTATATGTTTTGTGGTCATAACTACAAAATAAACAAACAAAAAGAATTGTCAAATTAAAGTGCTTGTTTGGTTTAATTTAAAGTTTGTTTAGTGCACAATGAATAATTGTGAGTCGGAAGAGATTGTGGAGGCTGCAAATATTGCAATAAGTAATTTGCTGCCTACGAAGTCAAGATCTTTATACGATATAGCCTACAATCGGTTCAAAAAGTGGTCCGCCGAGAAAAATGTTCAAGTATACAGCGAGAATGTTTTGTTGGCATACTTCAGTGAAAATGCAAAGAATTACAAGTCTTCCACATTATGGGCGCAATATTCTATGGTTAAGTCATGCTTGATAATTTACGACAACATAGATATAAGCAAATTCCCCAAGCTGATCGCATTTTTGAAAAGAACCGGTGACGGATATCAAGCGAAAAAATCGAAAATATTGACAAAGGGTGAAATCGACCGTTTTCTATCAAGTGCAGATGACAAAGAATTCTTCAATGATTAAGGTAAGATTACTTTTGTTGTTAGGTATTTCAATTATTAAGTATTTTGATTTTTTATAGGTTTGATTAATTCTGGGGATTGCCGGAGCTTGTCGAACTGATGAACTAGTCAATTTAACTATAGATGATATTGAGGATGTAGGCTCTTCCTTGATTGTAAAAATTCCAAACACTAAGACAAAGATTCCACGAACCTTTGTGGTTACCGATGTGGGAAATATGCTTGAATTGTTTCGAAAATACCTGTCCCTTCGTCCTCCCCACGTCAAGCATAAGCGCCTTTTTTTGTACTACAAAGCAGGAAAATGTAGTTCGCAGCCAGTTGGCAAGAATACCATGGGAAAAATTCCGAGTGTAGTAGCTTCGTATTTAAAATTACCTGATGCTGCATGTTATACTGGTCACTGCTTATGAAGATCTTCAGCGACATTACTGGCAGATGCTGGTGTGGATATCACGACAATAAAGTGTCATGCTGGTTGGAAATCAACGACAGTCGCTGAGGGTTATGTCGAGAACTCCATTGAAAATAAGACCAAAATTGCTAATCAGGTTTTAGTAGGTACCACTACTAGCGCAATCACAAAAACTGTAAATGTAAGCGAAAGTAATATTCCTTCTAATATTAATTTTGAAAATTGTACAAATGTAACATTTAATTTAAATGTCAATAAATAATTTCAATGTTATCTTTTTTTTTGCATGAAAAACGTTCTCCATAATGTAAACTCCCTTGGGAGCATTATACTCCCTTGGGAATAATCGACTACTTCTGTTTTAATTTTGATGTCATAGAAACTGATTTCTACTCCCGACCGTGGAAAAATGTATTTCAGTAAATTACAGTGACTATAAAATATGAATAGTTTTGTAATTACATGCTATGCTAATTTGATTTTTGCGCCTTGGTTACATATACTATACTTTATAAGCTTTTTAAAAATCATTACAAAAGCAGTTGTTAATAAGCAAATATCGCTAGTTTTAGTGCATTTAATCTGCAATTATTTATTTGTGACATACTTTATTTTTTTTCCTGTTTATTGGGGTATTTTGCCGCCTACGAAAAAATTTATAAATAAACCGTTATGCCAAAATGTCAATCTAAAAATGTCACCCAATAATTTGCGTTTTATTAATTTGTGGAGTCATACTGAATTCTTTTTTGTGTAACTGACATGCATATTTTCGTATACAGTATGTTTACTATATACTAGGACTATGAATTAATTTTGAGTGTCATTTTGCTGAAGTATAAACAACATATTTTTTCTTAGCTCCGAACATGTCAAATCACGGCCAATAAAACACCATTGAGGGTAGTTTTACTTTTCCTGTTCAATTCAAAGAAAAGTGCTGCTGAAAGTCTTCGAGTGCTTTTGGAAACTTATGGCGAACATACTCCATGTATCTTGATGAAATTTATCCTATAGGTGGATTGGTCGAGGTGGGCCACTGTCATGGTCTCCTTGACTTTTTTTGTGGGGGTTTGTAAAAGACAGGGTGTACACGCTGTTACAAATTCGCTTCTCACTACAGGGATCTTGAAAACGGTAAGAGATACAAACTAGCTTAATTGGGGGCAAGTTGCGTAATCAGAGGACCATCATCATGTTTCTAAAAAATCAAGTCTAACATGATTAGTTTTCGAAATATTTGAAAAAAAAAACATAATTTTGGAAATCCGTTTTTGTTTAATTTCAGCCTTATTTTGAGGTGATATTGAAAAAAGAGGAACACTTTCTCATAGCCACTTTTTACCCTCTATCGAATGGCATAATCAATTTTTATATGTAACGTTTTGTCTCTCCAGGACCATCATCAACTTCTTTTTTCTTAAATACGACCCAAGAAATTTTATTACATTTTTTGCAAGCCTTCAAGACCCCCAATATTGTACTGCCTTAGCCCGAACCAGATTCCAACGTTTCGTCTCGAAAAATTCATCTTCAGTGTATTCGTTCCAAATTTATCTAAATTGTTTATTTAGATTTCTTTGTTTATTGAATTATCGTACACTGTAAGTGTCGTTAGACCCTGTGCACTTCATCTAGTTATTTAAACTATTACCACCATGCATTAAAATAAAAAATTATTAGAGTTTTATTCCCGTGTCCATAGTTATTTCTAGGTTTCTCGAGTACTCAAAATTCAAACAAATTCCGATCTATTTTTTTCAGGATATTTATACAAATACATCTGACATGCTCTTTCACAGTTGCGGTTACAGATATAATAAATTCCGTAATATTACGCTGATTTTCATTTTCAATCTTTGCCAAAACGAAGATGTTTTTGAACATTTACTGAAATTTTTTAAAGAATAATATTCAGTTGGCATTTTGGTTGTTCATATGCATTTTTAAAAATTAATTTGTCATAATAAAATTAAAATTGTAATGTTTTAATTTTGACGCAACAACTTATTGATTTATGCATGACCAAGTGATGGTAATAGTTCATAATAATAAATGTTTTATTGTAATGGTCGTAATAGTTTAAATAACTAAATGGATTTCACAGGGTCTAACGACACTTACAGTGTACAATAATTCAATAAACAAAGAAATTTAAATAAAAAATTTAGATAAATTTGGAACGAATTCACTAAAGATGAATTTTTCGAAACATTAGATAGAGGGTAAAAAGTGGCCATGAGAATGTAATGTATTCTTCTTTTTTCAATATCACCTCAAACAAGGCTGAAATAAAACAAAAACGGATTTCTAAAATTTCGGTTTTTTTCAAATACATCATGATCGCATGTAGTCTTTTTATTTAGAGATAAATATTTAAATTTCAGAGGTAGTAGAGAAAAGCGCCTCCGAATTCTTATCATACCAAAAAGTAAACTTGCCTTAAAACGATCACAGTACAAAGATTCTAAGCTTTTATTGGACCATATAAAATATGAAAGAATAATAAGAAATTTGATAAGCCTCTTCATTATGTTTTTAAGAGATTAGCTTACATACTATGTTTTCAATAACTCCATTCCATTTGAAAAAAAAAACTGTAAGCATCTAGACGATATAGATGAAAATTTTTTCTTAATTACTGGGTTTTTCGCCACTTGTGAAAAAAAAATTAAAAATTATGCAAAAGACCCTTGCCCTAAAAGTCAAGGCTTATTTTTTATGAAAAGAGTTTTACATAGCCAAACAATGAAAAAAGAGATAAATAGAAAATACAAAATACAGATCACTATTTATTGCACATTTCAATAAGTATTGATGTTTTGAAAAATGATTTTTTTTCATTTTCAATATTCAGAAAAGACATTACGTTTTAAAATTATTTTCAACAGTTCGTTCTTTTCTGGGGAGAGGATTCTTTTCTTTAATTTTTTCACTAATCGTAAGTGGCAAAAATCATACGTGCAAAACACCCAATTAATAAAAAACAAAAGCTATGCCACAAACTTCAGACAATATGTATATGAAAATACTGCTGCCTAAAATAAATATAAATATTGACTAATGAATATCTATTTGCAGAATTTACAAATATTTGTGTATGTAAGTGTGAAGCTGGGTTTAATAGAGTAAAATATTTCCCATACTTACATACCCTGTCAAAATAAAATTTATCCAAGTTTGTTAAATAAATATTTAGAAGGTCATTTTCAAAATCACTGCGATTTAGTTTACATATAACTTGAAAAATATACATTTGTAGCTCTTTTGTTATATAACCATTTCTGAAAATGTCCATTAAATATTCAGCCAACATTTTATTTTTTTCTATGTCAATTAGATTTTTTGGATAGGTTACATTAAACCATAATATTTTTGCAATGACCTGACATTTTATATTATATCTCATATATTCGAATAGATGAGTTTTTATGAAGATATGAATATGTTCCATTGCTTTTAATAAAATAATCTTCTGGATCTCCGGATTTTTTATCTCATCGAATGCTGTAAAGTCCAAATAGGTATATTTTACTTGCTCATTTATATATTCCAAAATGAAATAGTTTTTATCGTCTTCAGGACTATTATTATTAAACACGTGATTAATGTGTTCTATCCTGAACATTGAACTGTATGCGCTGTTCTTTGAATATTTCAGTTATATACTTCCAGTGATTAGCTGTGAATTTCCTCAAATCGAAGTTACTTTCTATTATTCTTAGGAATTCAGAACGAATGTTTCTATGATCATTTTTATGTCTAATGCAAAAGTATTTTAGCACCTAAAACACAACACGTTTATAAAAAGTTGTTTTTCTTTACATAT